AGAAGACACCACCCAAGTGCAGGCAGCAAATTCCTGCCGTTAGGGACCACCTTGTGTGTCCTACCAGGAACTGGCAGGACCATCCTGAAAAGCACCAAGCCCCTCGCGCTGCCACTTAAAGCTCAGCATCCCGGAGCGCTTCGCAGCCGGTGCTCACCCTCGCACAACTAGAAAGTCTACGGCTTTGAGCAAAGTCCCCGAGGCCACCAAGTTCAAGAAGGTGGCCACGCTGGACACCCTCGAGCCATCAGTACCTGTTCCTGGAGCTCCGCTAGCCGCTGAGCTCGCTCTTCCTCCGAGTCGTCCGATGAGCTGTCGCTGTCGGAGGAGCTATCGCTGCTGCTGTCACTAGACGAAGGGGGAGCCACCTTGGTGGGAGGTGGCACCACCACGGGAGAAGAAGCTGGAATCACAGGTTCTTCTGGTTCATCCGGCATCTTGGCGAAGCGCATCTCGAACACGTCCTGAAAAGAGAGAGGAAGAACAAGGCGAGGTTTGGCAAAGCAGGATCCTGCGAGCGCCGCTGTTGCCTCCGGGGTGTTCCCTGCGGACTTGCGGTCTCTACCCAAGCAACCACCACACCGCGGGTCGCAGACAAGATCAGCTCCTGAAAGCTCCAAGTCTGCTTGGAACTTTGTCTCCAGGATGGTTTTAGGGCGATTCACTGGCAAGAAGGACAGGCCTCGTTTAAAAGCCGCATCGTCCGGGTTCTCGAGATCTTCTACATCTTCTTCTGCAACGGATTCACGCCCAAGGCAGGAATCGCAGCCGCAGCTCCGCGGTTGCAATCTCCTCTTCAGCCTGCCTGGATTTTTTCCCAATCCACATCCTCTGAAAACCACCTCGATTCAACCCAAACCCTCACGCAAGGACATTTCCCATTATCCTCCAGAGCGAGGGATGCGAAGCCGGTTTAATTCCCGTTACCCCGATGACGTGAAAGTCCTTTTTTCTCCTGAAGCCTGAAGGAAAATCCATTTTTATTTAAACCTAAGACGGGGCAGACAAGGGGAGACCCTGGTTGTACTGAAACCTGGTTGTACCGAAAGCCTGGCTGTATTCCTTGGAGCCTGTTGACTTCATTTGAAGAGTTTTGAGTGTGGATTTTAGTTCCCAGAAGAGGAGCGAGCGCCTCCTGCATCCAAAACCACATTTTTTTTTCTCCCCGAGGTGCCACCTTGCGAAGGGCGAAGCGCTTGCAGACAAAACCGCCGTTTTTTGCATCTCCGACAAGGCGAGACCTGAAAACGGGCTCAATTCACCTGCTTTCAGGTGTTTAGAGGTCAAGCACGCGCTTCTGAGCTTAGCGACTCGCCCCAGGCTCCTTTTGGAGCCCACGAGGCAACCAGCAGCTCCCCGAGGATGACTCAAGTGATGGCGGGAAGGACACCCAAAGGCGGCACGAGGTGTCCACCTCACGCCAAGTCATAAACAACAGAAGCTAATGGCTCCTCCTGCCCCAAGGCTGGACTTTCCGTCTACAGTTAATGTTTGTTTTTTACATTGTCCACGTCCTGCGTGCGCGGCTGTGAACTCAACCCCCCACCCCCCCCGAATTTCTAAAACCCAACAGGTTGAAATATTAACCACGTTCACATTCATATAACCAACTCCTCCAAAATCCTTCAGCACGTCCAACGCCCCGTGACATCAAATCTCATCGCTTGAGCGCGGCAGTGACGTTCTCCTTCCTGAAGGCTTCCAGCTCTTCTAGCTCAGGCTCCTCCTCGTGATTTGAAGGACCCGTTGAGCTGTCGCCTGCCTCCACACACATTATTTTTCCGCCCTCTTTCTCAACCGCGAGCGCTGCTTGACCACATTTCTCCATCCTCAGCCTCCTCCTGCCTTTCTTCAGGGCCTTTTTCCAGCCACAAAGGCTTTTCCAAGTGCTGTAGATGTTGTTTTGGTGCTTCCACCTGCTGGCAGAAATGCTGTTTGACTTCATTTACACGTCCAGGCTCAAATTTCAGGGGAAAGAGCAGAAAAATGCTGGAGGAAAAGGAGAGATTCCCAAGCTCCTCCAGCGACGGAGGCGCACACACGCATTTGTCGCTGATTCACTGCGCTTAATGGTTGTTTACAACCTAATTATTGTTTTCCACGAACCAGAAAGTCTGGTCCTTGATTACCACCAGCAGGCAATGCCACACCAGCGTCTATACTCCATTTCCAAGTTCTCCAGGGTCACAAATCAAACCTTCCTAGGATTTTTTCCTACCTATCTAGCCTTCTCATTAAGAGGAAAGCTAACTGAAAGTTCCCTTGTGTGAAGTTAAAAAGCAATCCATCGATTCGGAAGCTCCCGGGTTATCCAAAGGACCCCCAGGAATCCACCCAGGAATGGCTAAAAGAGAAAACCCTGTGAGTTGACAACGAGCTAATTAATGACTTATTAATCAGGGATTCTTCCTGATATGGTTTGACACCGCTCGGACAACCATTAACCATCAATTTCTTCCACGAGCTGGTGTTAACCCTGAGAATTCAAGAAATCATCATCTTCCGACGCTGAAATGGTAACAAAAGCAGAAAAACGGGTTATTTCAGCGGTCGGTGCTGCCAGGACGGAGCGACACCGCAGCAGGAGCGACCGGGGCTCTTTACGGAGCAAGACGTGGCGCGATTCGTTCATGGGAACTCAAGCCCAAACGTGAATCCTCAGCTTGGTTTCCAAACCTCAGCAGCCTCCAGAAACCTCCTTTTTTCGACATCTGATTTCTGAAATCGGGGAAAGCAAACGGAGAGGAGCCACCCCTGGTCTCACCGCTGGGGAGCGGGATCCAGCGGATTCCGGGGGGATTTCACGGCGGCTCCCGGACGCTCGGTCGGTCTCAAGCACGAGACGAGGCGGTGACGAGACGCAGGAGCTCCCCGGCCCCTCGCGGCGTCTCTCCGCGGCTGCGGCGAGCTCCTTCGGCACCCAAAGGGGCTCGTGTCCCTCCCCCTAGAACCTCGGCCAGGCGACCCCAGGCCGCAGCTCCGAATTTCCGAGGAATGATGGGATCGAGATGACGAGTGAGCGCGTGCCTTCAGCCAAGGCGCTTCGCTCGAGACGGGGGGCTCCTTCAGCAGCTACTTCACTGATCACAAACCCTTCGGGAACGGGCGGAAAACTTCACCAAATGAGCAACGGAAGAGGCGACTAAAAAGGCACAAGGAAGCAGGTGCTGTCGCTTAATTCCTTTCTAGGTGTTTTGGGGAGAAAAGGGACATTTTGGAGCCGGGCTTTTCCTTCCTACTCCTTTACCACAGAGGTAAGAGGACACAAAAGAAGGGGGTTAAACAAAATACAGAGTTTAAAGAAGCGGATTGGGCTGAGTCAGCCCACGCCTTGCATCACTTCCACAGCAAAAAGTACCATTTTTTTAACCATCACCCCCCACGCTGGCTTTTTTAAACGTTATTTCACGACTCCGCGGCCCCTCGCGCCAGGAAAATCAGTCAAGAGACGTCGGCATTCACCGACAACCGCGACACCGCGCGTCCTTACCTGCAGCTTCCGCGCCATGGCCACCACCTCGTGATCGGCGGGGTTGTACTGGTAGCAGTTGGAGAACATCAATCGTACGTCCGCCGCGAATTCCTGAGCATCTCGGTATTCCCGGTTCTCCAGTTTAGACTGGAAAGGAGACGGGGAGGGGGAAAGCAACAAAACTCTCCGCTATTAACAGCGCAAACACACCAAAGTCGATCGGTTGCGTTAGTGCAGCCCCGTGGCGCCCACGGGTTTCACCCACCCGTTTTCTCCCTACGTTGGAGCGACTCATTTCGGTGCAAAGAATGACTGATTTTGGCCCAAAGAATGACTGATTTCGGTCCAAAGAATGACTAATTTCGGTCCAAAGAATGACCAACTTTGATCAACAGAACACTTCTGGTCAAAAGAACAACTGATTTTGGTCAAAAGAACAGTTTTGGTCAAAAGAGTGACTCACTTTGGTCTGAAGAATGACTGATTTTGGTCCAAAGAACAACTAATTTTGGTTAAACAAAGGATTGTGGATGGTTTATATAAACCCAGAGCTACCTACAAGCATCCCCAACGACATTCGAAAGAGGACTACGTGCTCTCCAAGCCACCTTCTCGCCGTCTGCGTGGCTGACAGCAGCAGGGGCGGTTTGGATGAAGAACCAGGTGGGGATGCTGTGTTGAAGGCCAGGAGTACGACCCCCGGTTCTGCCTGCCCTCAACCAAGAAGGGCTAACCCTCCACACGCGCCCAAGATCACGCGTCAGCTCAAGAACACGGTGAGCTTTGCTCAGATCCTTCCCCTGGAAGGAAGATCTCAAGAGTTGTCTTAACGGTGGTGGAGGAAGAGAGGACACCAGGATGGAAGAGATGATGTTGTTGATGCAGGGGACGGGATTCAACCATCTCGTCTGCTTTTAACCATCCACCCTTCCTCCAGGAACCAAGCTGGTGTCTCTAGAGCTTGGACCTCCACCCTAGGAAGGCACAGACCTGCTCTACAGCTGCCCGCTCCCGTCCCAAGCCTACATGGAGCTGGGAGGACTGGTGTGGTTGGAGACAGCCTCGGGATGCCCCCTCATCTCCCCCCCCCCGAACGCCGCATCCAGCTGTGGCAACGCCAGCCCAGCCAAGAGAAGCTTCACGCTTCCTTTCTCCCTCCCTGGGAAAGCAGCGTTGAGTTGGACAACTGGAAGAGGGAGAAGGCTCAACAGCTGTCCCGGCAACGGCTGCCAAGGGGGACCTCAGACGCGCGGCCCCGCCAGACAGTTGGGCAGCGAGACGTACAGGCAGCGACGGACGTGCAAGACCTAACGCTCATCGCCGGCCAGCCCGGCGGGAGAAAGCCAAGACGTGAATTTGGCGTCCCCGAGGTTTGGCCCACCGAGACCCTACGTGTCCGAGCCGCCACGACGAAGGAAGAGCCGTGACGCTCGTTGGCTTCGGCCCTGGCGTGTAACCTCGGCACGGCGCGGGCCGGGGAAGGGAAAACGGACGCCTCTGGTTTTAAAACGCAGGGCCAAAGCGGGCGAAGGAGGGGTCAGAGCCGAGCGCCAACCGCTCGCGCGCGAGCTCGTCCCGTTGCTAAAAAGCTGAAGACTTGTAAATAACGAACGAAGGCTTTAAGGCTTCGAAATCATGAATTAACGCTCGATAACCCCGAAGGTCTTCTAAATAAGGAGCTGAGGTTTCCTAGCGAAAAAGTTAAGGCTTCTAACTCGTGAATTAACACTTCCAGGGGAAACGCGGATGACTTCCCAGTCGCTTTTCACAATTAAACAGCTCCAGTAAATTAAGGTTTCACGGGGAAGCGCGGACGAATTTGCTGCTGCTCTTTTAAAACGAAGCCGGGTTAAACCAGAGGGAACTGCCTGTGTGTAACAGAGGGTCGGTTTAGACAGACAACTTCAGGAAGACGGGCCTTTATTTGAAAAAGGACGGAAAACGGGTCTTTTTAAATCAAATCTCCTTATTCTGGGAATTGATGCTCTCTGGGGCCATCTCCTGGGCTAAAAAAAAATAAAAGAGCAGCTTCAGACCGTAATGGAAATTTTCTATAAAAAGCGTTTCCCAAGAGCCCTTCGGGAAGGATGCGGCTTGTTTGTTTGTTCCCAAATGTCACGGTAACAGCAAGAGGAGAAGAGAGACCGAACGTCCCCGAAGCCCACGGCCCGACGCCATCTGGCAGACGCCCGACGGCCCCCGGGGCGCACGCGCGGGGAGAAAATCATCTCTTTTTTTTTTTTTTTCTCTGCTCAGACCCCGACCTCCCCCCTCCTGTAAAGCTGAGCTTACTTTGATTGTGCTCAGATCCATGGGATGTTTAATGATATCGCAATAATCGTGCAGTCCCAGCGCTTCCACATCCACAGGTTTGTAGAAGGGCCAGGCGTAGGCAGCGTGTTTCTTGGCGAACATCTCTTTGATGATCCCGCTGCAGTATTTTAACTGCTCGGATATTTTGCTACTCTTTTCTACCATGTGTTGTTGAGAGTCTGGAACGTCCTTCTTTGGAGGCTTCACCGGGCGGCTGCTTTCCCGGCGGGGACCCAGCTTGGCGGACTTGGGTTCGGCGGGCAGCGATGACGATTCATGAATTGGGTCGATGGTCGTGGGCGTCGTGGTGTCTGCTTTCCTCTTCACCCCTTTTTTTGTCTGTAACCGAGCAAACGCAGCAACGTTACCTTCGGCATCGCGCTCGCGGCTTCGACCGAGCCGCCCTTCTTGTAGCGCTGACTCAGGTTCGCCATCGCTGGCGACCCACGCCTCACGGCAACGCTACGAGAAGGACGCTGGAAGCCCTTCCAAAAATACGCAGATACTGTCGGTCTGTACCGAGCTCTACAGAAAATCCGACGGTTTATCTCCGTCGTACCAGCGAAGGTCAAGGGCACGAGTGAAGATTTTCTTCCCGAGTCACATAAAGCTCAGGGAAGGAAAGTTTCAAAGAGGATGAACGGGGTCTCCACACAATCCTGGGTGGAATTCATCACGTCAACCCGTCTCAGAGAGCGTCACTGCTCTTTCCTACTCAACGGAGAGCAAGAAGTGTTCTCAAACTATGAATTTTTGGCCCAAACTGCAGCCGTTCACCTTAAAATCAGACTCCGGCAGCAAAGCAATGGGCGACCACTTGACCAACCGCGGCGTAGAGACGCCGCGAAGACAACCACGCCGCCACGCTGAGATAATTCAGGGATCACTCACCTTCACGGGCTGGGCGGGTGTTGGGATAACGGGCGGGTGAGGCTGGATGGGCTGGGGGGCCCGGGCCGGGCGCCGCGGGGGCGGGGGGA